TTGAGGCTACCTTTCGTGATCCCATCCCATCCCATCCCATGCCGTCCCATCCCATCCCATTCCATTCCATTCCATTCCATTCCATTCCATTCCACCCATTCCATCCACCCAATCCATCCATCCACCCATCCAATCATTCCCGCCTGCCTCACCCGTGCAAGACGCGCCTGCAGGAGCCGCGTCTTTGCCGATCCGAAGCCCTCGAAGTCGAAGTGGAAGACCTGCGCCGGCTTCGGCACCAGGAGCTCCGAGGCGATCTCTTCGGACGCGTCCTGGAGAAGGACTCAACCCATTGGAACGTGGATGAACCTTTGGCTGAACAAAAATGTCTCTACCCAGGCGCACTGGTGTCCACGGAACACTGTGGCAAAAGTTGGGGATGAACCACTAGCCTCCTCCAACAGGAACTTCCCTGTCCACTTCTGCCAAATCAAACGGCAGCTCTTTCGTGGGTATTGTTTGCATTGCAATCTACGGCAAGCGTCTTCTTTTTGGTGGGTGGGTGGGAGTGGGGTCGGGGGGGTCGCTATTGATGTCCTAGTCCCGTGGACATGAACCGTCTAAGCATCTCATACAAAAGTTGAGGGCTTAGGACATACACCACCAGGACAAAAGTTGTGCCTCTTGGGCCTTCCTCATGGATTCACACCTCCAAGTATGCCAACGCGCTTTTGTCTCTGCCCTCTTGGCAGCAGCCGCCCTGCTCCAAGTGGCACCCGGCGTCAACCGAGACTCTGATCCACAAGCCCTACGCGAAGCCTGCAGTAAGGTCTTCCACAAAGCTGCAAGATCCCGTGACGGTCAGGACCTTCAGCCGTTGCGCGCAGCAAAGGCCGAGTGGGAAAGCGCCTTGGGTCAAAGAGATGCTAGAGGCAGACCGTGCGCAAGTGAGGCTGGCTATCGGGCTGAAGGCACTGCAGTTCTGCTCACTTACCAATCTTTTGACGGCCTGGATCAGTGGCGCAGATTTGCCTGCTTTGTTCAGCAGAAAACTTCAACCTGGCAGGTGAAGTACTGGTGTGCGACATTGGAGAAATGCAAAACTGGGCGCTTGCATGCGCATGTCATGCCTGTCTGCTTGCCTCTTCAAGTGTCTGATCCTCGCAACGGTTGCCAAGGGAAGGTCCAAACACATAGTTCTGCACATTGACAAAAATTGAGCATCACTCGTCTGCAGCCTGTCACCCAACACCCCTCCCGTGACGCTGTCCACCGCCACATGCTTGAAAGCATCCAGCTGGTCTTGTTAAACTGAAAACATGGCCTGTTCTACGCTCAAGTCCGTGCTAGGATTGGTCGGTCCGGTGTTACTTCTCGTGCTTCCTCATGGATTCACACCTCCAAGTATGCCAACGCGCTTTTGTCTCTGCCCTCTTGGCAGCAGCCGCCCTGCTCCAAGTGGCACCCGGCGTCAACCGAGACTCTGATCCACAAGCCCTACGCGAAGCCTGCAGTAAGGTCTTCCACAAAGCTGCAAGATCCCGTGACGGTCAGGACCTTCAGCCGTTGCGCGCAGCAAAGGCCGAGTGGGAAAGCGCCTTGGGTCAAAGAGATGCTAGAGGCAGACCGTGCGCAAGTGAGGCTGGCTATCGGGCTGAAGGCACTGCAGTTCTGCTCACTTACCAATCTTTTGACGCCCTGGATCAGTGGCGCAGATTTGCCTGCTTTGTTTTGTTCAGCAGAAAACTTCAACCTGGCAGGTGAAGTACTGGTGTGCGACATTGGAGAAATGCAAAACTGGGCGCTTGCATGCGCATGTCATGCCTGTCTGCTTGCCTCTTCAAGTGTCTGATCCTCGCAACGGTTGCCAAGGGAAGGTCCAAACACATAGTTCTGCACATTGACAAAAATTGAGCATCACTCGTCTGCAGCCTGTCACCCAACACCCCTCCCGTGACACTGTCCACCGCCACATGCTTGAAAGCATCCAGCTGGTCTTGTTAAACTGAAAACATGGCCTGTTCTACGCTCAAGTCCGTGCTAGGATAGGTCGGTCCGGTGTTACTTCTCGTGCTTCCTCATGGATTCACACCTCCAAGTATGCCAACGCGCTTTTGTCTCTGCCCTCTTGGCAGCAGCCGCCCTGCTCCAAGTGGCACCCGGCGTCAACCGAGACTCTGATCCACAAGCCCTACGCGAAGCCTGCAGTAAGGTCTTCCACAAAGCTGCAAGATCCCGTGACGGTCAGGACCTTCAGCCGTTGCGCGCAGCAAAGGCCGAGTGGGAAAGCGCCTTGGGTCAAAGAGATGCTAGAGGCAGACCGTGCGCAAGTGAGGCTGGCTATCGGGCTGAAGGCACTGCAGTTCTGCTCACTTACCAATCTTTTGACGGCCTGGATCAGTGGTGCAGATTTGCCTGCTTTGTTCAGCAGAAAACTTCAACCTGGCAGGTGAAGTACTGGTGTGCGACATTGGAGAAATGCAAAACTGGGCGCTTGCATGCGCATGTCATGCCTGTCTGCTTGCCTCTTCAAGTGTCTGATCCTCGCAACGGTTGCCAAGGGAAGGTCCAAACACATAGTTCTGCACATTGACAAAAATTGAGCATCACTCGTCTGCAGCCTGTCACCCAACACCCCTCCCGTGACGCACCACCAGGACAAAAGTTGTGCCTCTTGGGCCTTCTCAGAAAAAGCAACCCTTTCCCCCTAGAATCCTGCAAGTTGTTGCTGGGTCATTCGCGGTCGAATTGTCACACTCCAAAGCCTTTAAAGTATTTTAAATTTAAAAGAGGGTGATAATTGACCGTCCCACTCCTGCCACATGAAAAGGAGTTGGAAATTCGATCCGCGGGTGATCCACACGGCTCTGCAGAAACCATCAAGAGGCATAAACTTTTGTCCTTCTGATGTAGGACCGCTCCCAGATTCCCAACAAGAAGCGGAAAGAAAAAAGCACGGAAAAAATATGCCCGCTGCTGACAGTACCAGAGCTTGAATAGCTGCATCCCTGGAGTGACAAAGCCTCTGCTGAGGCCGGTGGTGCTTGGCGAAGATGGTGAGGCTAGCAGTTGCGCGAGGGTACATCTGGACGATGCTACAAATGCAGCCTCCGCTAGCTTGTGCATGCCACGAATTTTAACCTCCGGGATGTTGAAGAAGGGCCAAGCCACTAATGATGATGCAAAAAGGGCAAAAACAAAGCAAGCCAAAGCTGGATGATTGTCAATGCGGCTGCTGGATACTGGTGATGTCGCCGGCATTTCCTGGATCATTCTTAAAGTCTTGGATCAGAACCGACTTTCCCAAGACACTCAGCGGTAGACGAAAGGGTAAACCCATCGAAGCCTGCCTGGTTCCTGGAGTCCAGACCCAGGACAAAGCAGTCTCCGATGTCACGCCAGAGAGGCAAATGCTTCCGCAGCAGCTGTTCCTCATCCCTTGCCAGCATGGCCACCTGATGGCGAAGGCGAAACTGCCGTGACTTGAGGGTGGACTTTAACTGGGCCCGTTCATTTACCATGGGATTGATGCTCACGAGTAAATTTCAAAGGCAACTGTGAGAAAAGAAAAAGAAGAAGAAGAGAGAACGTTCCTTGGCAGCAATGATTGGCCAAACCTGCATGTTCAGCAAAACCTGTAGAGGCTGGAAATCCGCTGCAAACCATCCGGCATTCCATCCGCCTGGAGTTCTGCCGACTGGCATTCCATCCGCTGCAAATCTCCGCTTTGACAGCACATGCTTCAACCAAACAAAAGACCCACCGCGACTTCCTCCTTACAGTTCTCCCTGCTATTAGGAGAAAGCGAGCAGCAAGGTTCAGGCAAGCAACAAGGAGTGACGGCAGGTCACTGGCCACGGCGCAAGCCAGCTGCATCAAGCAGGCAAGGGCCAGCATGGCAGGCAGCTCTGATCCAACGCAGTTGTCCAGGAAACTTGCTCAAGGCCAGCCCACAGTGCTTCTTAGAATATCAACTGAACGGTGTCGCATACAAACCATCATTTGCAGACGGCAGTTGCATTCTTGCCGTGCGATCACGGTGTCTTGAAACATCATGGGCTGCGAATGCCGTTGGCACATGCGCGCTACGTCTCTCTGCCTTACGGCCCCGGCCAAGAGGAATCGTGGCTGCCAACCCTTGGCCAGGTTGACACCTCAAACAAGGCCATGGCCAACATAAAAGTTGCAGGGCCTTCCAACTGGGTTGTGCAAAATGGATCAGAAAGGGGGGATTTACTCGGATTTAAGCTTGATTTTACAACCCAGTCCCATGGACCTTTGCATCTTTACACCACAGGCGCCCGGCAGCCCGTCTCCTCCAAACCTGGATGCGATTCAGAGCAACTCGCAGTCACCCCCTTGGCTAACAGCCTCCCAAAGCACGCATGGAGCCCACAGCCGCACACCAAGTCTATGGAAAGTTGAGCGTTTCGTGACTTCGGCCCCGAGCTGTTGATGGCGTTTAGTGAGATGCCCTAATACCATTTAAAACGGGAACTTCTTTGGCTGAGCGTTAGGCCGGACAGGAAGTGATGCTCCAGGAAAGGAGAATCATCCGATGCCAAGAGTTCCTGCACGTGAAACCCGTGCACCGATGCACATGCTGGGCCCAAAAGCAAGCGAACGCTTGGGCCGAGGCATTCCAAAGCGCTGGTGGCAAACTAGCTCCCCGGCCTGCACATGCAAAAGCACAATCGTGTTGAATAGCTCAGTGGCCAAATGCGGGACAGAGCTCACGCCGAAGGAAGAAGAATGAGAGATCTATGCAGCACCTCGCAAGACCTTGATGGAGATGTTGTCCAAGCCGTCTTTGTCCGCTGACTCCTGGAACAAACCACTGCATCGCATGGCAATCCTGCTTCTCTGTGCCCGCCGCTGCTACCAACAAGCGCTGAATCTTCCAGTTGCCGCCCGCAGCGGCCACCCGCTGCGCACACATAAGCAGCAGCAGCAAAAGCGAGGACCCTTTTTGTTTCGCGCAGCACTCGGACAGTGTTCTCTTGGACTTGGTCTGCATCCTCATTCTTGAAGCTGCAAACCATTCTGTAAGTTGCTCTGAATCACTCCTCAACCCCGCTAAGGTCTTCCATCTGCCGATCATTCCGCAGGCTGCCCTGATTTGCATCAGCCAGCGCGGTTGCCTCAGAACATTTTTAGGCCGAGTGGTCTTCATGATTCCTGTTCTGCATGTGTTTGCATATCTGTGTGTTTGTCTATTTGTTCATGTATCTATTCGGACTCTCAACAAAAACAACATGGCAAGAACCTCCCCGCCCCCCTCCCAAGTAACGCGCACATCATGGCCAAGCTGCTCCGCCTTTGATGAAGGGGTAGGCGGACTCGGGCACTCCCCGAATCCGCACGGCCTTCGCCCGGATGGTGCCGGTGCTCTGCGATGGTGTGGCGCGACCTGGCCCCGGACGCCGTAGCGCTGGTAACCCCTCCCACTCATTCTCTGGAAGCCCCACATCCTTCAACCACTCAGAAGCCCATGAACGCATCCGCTTGGAACAAAACCTCCCTTCAGCCACTCCTTTCTCCCGTCTTTGCCCAGCGGCGGTCCGGAGGCACCACCCCGCCCGGGAACTCTTGCACCACGCAGGCGATGCTGGACGCCAGCTCTTCGTGCAACAGGGACAGCTCCGGGGGCTCTCCCGACTCAGATGCGAGCGAAGCAACTCCAAACCAACATGCCCAACAAACGCGATGTCGACGAATGTGTTTCCCATTGGTCAAAGCGGCGGCGATGATTAAACGCAAATGAAGCAAGATTGCCCTGCAGCGTGGACGTTTGACCTGTTGCTGCCCTGGGCGGTCCATCCTTCACGCCTCCCTGCCACATTTTGACAGGAATGCAAGAACACTGCCCGACCAATTGCTGGCAATGACACGGGAAGCAGCGAAAGAACCTCAGTGGCGAGCATTTGTCCAAACACATTCAACTCCTTTTATTGTCATCTTCCGGTTGCTCCATTTTGCCCTGACAGGGCTGGCCTCTGACACATGTGGTCCTTTTCTCCGCACCATGGCCATGGTTCACTCAGAAGAAACCTAGAATTCCCAACCCCAGGAAAAAGCTGGTGTGTGTGTGTGTGTGTGCGTTTTTGTGGGAAGCCCACTTTTGGTTAGCTTTAAAAGGGCATCCCAAACAAAAAACATGTTGGGGGGTCCGAATCCTAAAAAGACACACCCAGATAAGGGTCAAAGACCATGACGCAACACGGTGTGCCACGCACCGCGCCTGCAAAGACGACCGCAGAGATGCGTTTGGGGCAAGAGCCGCAGAGAGATCCAGCGGGTCCACCTCGGGCCCCAACGACACCGGACCTGCCCCTGACGAACGAAAGGTAGAAACCACTTCTGCCCAAGAAATCCAAAAAAACCTGGCGCACGTATGGGTGTCAGACATGGACACGCAAACAGTTACATCCAAGGCACTGGGCCAAAGGATTCCGTGACGATGAAGTCGATCTGCTTCAGGATCCCAGCTTTCGCCTCGATCGGCGACACCGAGGACGTCACCGAAAGGAAGGGCAGCTCCGTGGCACTCTTGATGTTGATGTCGGCCCAGCCCCAAAAGCAAAACCGAACCCAACACCCCTAAGTCACATAACAGCATGTCGCGGCTGTCAGGATGTGACCGAGCGGTCGAGCAACAGCAAGAATTTCCGCCTGACATCATGTCGGAAAAAGCCTGAAATGACTTGCCTGCCGAGCTGCCGTCTCTGCCTTTGACTCGGCCGCTGCCGCGTCGGTGATCAAATCCACCTCAAGCCCATCGGGAAAAAACAAGCCTGTCGCGATGGGCCGGGCCTTCTCGGCCTGACGGGGCCCCTCCAAGGCAGCCGTGCTTCGCCTGAAGGGCCCAAATGTTTGCATGGACAGCCTGAGAGCAAAACATTGAAAAAAGAATCAAGTTTGGCAGAACCATGCACCACAAGCAAAGTAGGCCCCCCTTTGGGCCATGAAGCTTCGCGTTTCCCGAAACAAACTTTCAATAAAGGAGTTGTCCAACCCCTGTGCTCGAGAGGATGCTTGTTACAGCACATTTCTGAGATAATCCTGATACACATGAGTTCCCTCCATTTCACTCCTTCCTTCAGCTGCGCCTCTACTTTACTGTGTTGTTTTTCCCTCACCTTCCTTCAGCTGCGCCTCCCTGAAAGCGCGTCTACCCGTCTTGTAGATATCTCGAGATTTCGCCATCCCGCGCCTGGCGCCTGCCTTGATTCCCAACTTTGTGCGGCCCTCCTCGGACAGCCACGTCCTGCGCAAACAGCGCGCCAAACCACAAATGTCAAAACGCTTGGAGACGGCCTGATGAGGGCCAAATAGCCAAACAAGACCAAATAACAATGCTTTCACAGTTGGAGGGGATCTTTGAGGGAACCTCCTGGATCAAAGATGTTCGTGCAGCCAGCAAAACCCAGCCCTGCGCACAAGAAACAAACATACCCTTCCAAGACTTTGAGGGCGTAAATGGGGGCAGGAGGACGATTTTTTTGCAAGGCCATGATGGTACCGCACGCAGTCCTTTGTGAGCCCTCTTTTTCAGTCAGCCACACTGCGCCCGAGAAAAAGCGAGCGGGCTATGGCGGGTTGCTCTCCTGGGTCTCAAGTACGGCACTGTCTTGCCCTGTTCCTTAGCCGACTGCGGGACGCTGGATGACCGCAGTTCGCTGACATGTACTTTTGTGGAAACCCTGCCAGCACATGAATTAATGTGTCTCAATATCATTGAAGGAACATTGACAATGTCAAAATCACACACATATAATATATATATATATATCTATATATATATATATATACATTGTGTGTGTGTGTCCATGTTGTGTCGCTAAAAAAGGTCATGACTTGTAGAAGCACCACCAGGCAAAGTGATGGTATGTGCATTGCCATCAAGCTGCTGAGAGTGTCACGGATTGAGCCGGCACGAATGGAGTCTTCTCATTGGAAGCATCCCAGAACTTCCAGCCAGCTGCGGAGCATAGCCGCTCAGGCCTCAAAAGAGTGCTGCTGACAAAGAAAACTTGTTTGAGGCGCGAAGCCCTTTCCCAAGAAATGAGGGACGAGGGCAGCGATGTTGAGACATGCAGGACCCCACAAATCAAGGGCGCCCTGCGGGGCGCGAGCCAAAATTATCCCACACTTTGCTTGAATGTTCTCTCGGCCAGTGTGCCCAGCCAGCTGAAGCCAGGAGCAAGCTGTCCATGCCGCGAATCGCATCCGAGTCGCCTCAATCCGTGCTGCTTGCAGCTCTTCACCGTCTCATCCAGGTCCACGCCCGCACCCCCGGCAACGCAGACCGGCAGCTTGTCCATGCCGCCGCATCTTTCCAAATAATTCAACCCGTGACCTCGACCGCACACACATCTTCCCGACACTCGCCCACGACCTGAAACCACCAAGCCAATTCCGAGTGGCAAAGGATTGAAAGGGGAACCGAGAAAGAAGGGAAGAAAGAAGGACAAAAAGAAGGCGGAAAGAAAAGACGGAAGGACAAAAGCAGACAAGTGGAGAACATCCAAGCGCCTGGTAAGCTCGCGATGGCGTGCTTCTGCAACGCCTCGCGCACCCCGCCTGGGTTTGGACATGAGTCGGCAGTGGGCGGGGTGGAACTCAGAAGCCTGCGACCGCAAGGAACCAACAAATCTCCACATCCTCAACACAATTCTGAGAGGGCATCCGTTGTGTCTCAGCGGTGTATCACGCTAACTGCCACACGAGGCACTAGCTGAAGCGTTCGGCGGTAACCTTGGTAGACAAACAATGCCGAGATGTCAGATAGCAACTCCGTGAGCCCGGAATCCTGAGACCTGCGTGGACCCTTTCGCGCGCCGACTGGGGAACTTCAAGTCGCCAGGTGCCGAGCAGCTCATCTAAACACGATGCTGGAAGGATAAAATCTCTCCCTCCACCAGTCGACACCCGCAGCAAGGCCGTCGGATCGTTGCCGCACTCCTGAACAGCACGCGCGTCAAACTTGGGCCCTTCCTGGGCTTCAGGATGCCTAAAGGGAAAGCAACCGTCCACATGGGATCCGCACAAATTTTCGCATTTGCCCCACTTAATCAAACAACTGGCAAACGGGAGCAATGTTTGCAATGTTAGCTTCAAACAACCCTGCGGGCCATACTCATCCAAGGAACCAACAGAAAAGCAGCAAAGGAAAACCACTCTGGATTGAGACGGGTACCCTGAGACAATCCAATTTTTGCATTTGCCTGGTGCCGTGTATGGGTGAGTCTTGACCAAGGCGGGGAAACCGCCTACACCCCGGCCTTCCAGGCCGTGAATTCTGGTGCAGGCGAGGGCGTCGTTGGCGACCTAGGATGCACACCTTTATGGCCAGGGAAGGCAGGGTTGATCTGTCAAACAAACAAAAGAAGAGGGAAATATAGCATAACCGTTTCGGACCACGACCTCAAGTACTCCACAACCGGGGCATAAAACTGGTCAAGTGGTCTTCAACTGGGCTTGCGGGGCCTGGGGCTTCACAAGTTCTGCCGAGCTAACCCCTCAATGCTGGCAGGGCAGCCAGATTTCAGCGCTCCGCTGACCGAACGGCACTTGAGAAGGGGAGACACGAAAGCTAGGATACCGTATAAACGATGGAATGTCCCCGAGACAAAGTCTGGAGGTGTTGGTGCTAAAACTGGTCCCATATCAACTTCGGAATACTACGACTTGACTGGGAGGACCGGCCTTGAAACACAAGAGCAAACCGGTTCGAAAAGCGGACCGTGTGAAGCGAAGCGAGCGAAGAGAGCAGCGAGAAGACCGGAAGAAGGAGCGAAGCTGCCAATCAGGCAGGGAGGCCCGGGGAGGGGGGGGCCGATGTTGCATTGGCTTTGCGGCTGAGGCCGACCCCCAGACCCCCTCAGTCTGGCCTTGCTAACTCAAGGACAAACTCAAGCTAGCCTCCTTAAGGCTACCTTTCGTGATTTATTCCAACAGGGCTGAGCATGCACTGTGAGGCCCCCACGTTCCAGTTGGTCCATTAGCAACACCTTGGCCTGGACGTTCCAGCTTTGGCACGTGCAGGCCGGGCCACATGCACCTGCCCATGGCCAAGGGACAACTCCATCAACGTCATGCAGAACTGCCGAAAAAAACTTTCTGCCAACGTTCGGACAGCCCTTGGTGCTGAAAGTGACACGCAATCACCGAAGCGGAAAACATCTCATCTGACCTTCTGCTCTCGTTGCCTTAGCCAGGGCCGCTTGCGCGCAAGCAGACATACGTGATTGGCTTGGGCCAGCAGCTGCCAGAAGCTTCAGCACAGTTGTGGCACAAGGCCAAGTTTCTGCAACTGCGTCATGTGCGTGGTAGTGTCCTTGTCTGGCTGCCAGCCTTCCAACCTCGGCCCAAAGATGCCCCACAAAGCAGCTCCCACATGCACAGCAGCGCCGAACAAGCAGCTCGGGCCCCAGCGCATCGAGCCGACGCAGGAATTCGAGTCGTAGCATGGAGTGGTTGATTTGAAGCCGGTCCTCCGGAGGACCGATTATGGGGAAGAGGGGTCAACCCAGCTGACAGTGGTTATCTCCGCCTAGCCAACTCTCAGGAGCCAGCAGGGATCCTTACATTATACACCTGAACATTGCCTTGTAAATGGTGGTTTCCCTTTATTTTGGTGGAACAAGCCATGTTTCAAATGGGCAAAATGTATCTTTTAAGGATCCATGGCCAGGTGTTCTCTCTGTGCTTTGCCTCTTCCCGAAAATTTGGTTTCCACATTCTGTTTCCCTTTCCCGGTCCCTCCCTCAACCTTAGCGATGCGCCCCGAATCCTCCAGAGTCAGGCCGTGGCCAGCCTGCGAAACTTGTCTTAGTGTGCTTCCAATTGGTTCGCGGGCAGCTTCTTCTTTCCAGCGATTGCCCCTTGTACAGGCAGTCTTTAGTGTGCTTTGATTTCCCCGGACTCCAATGACGTGGTTGTCCCATTGTCGCATGGCCAATCTTTTGAACAGTTGGGTATGTCTCAAAATGCGGGCCCTCTTTTTGGCAGTTCCCAAACGAAACTAAAAGGCAGCCAACTACTTGAAAGGAGTTGCCGTGCTTATGTCGAGGCACACATGTCTTGACCAGGAACCTCACTTGGGGTCCAGAAAATGATCCCTTGACTTTCAGGCACCAAGGAATCTTCCGGCCTTCTCTCTACTTGCCAGCACCTCCATAAGATGGCTCTCCGCCTGCAAAGCGCCACAAGTCCACACGAATTGGCGTGTGGATGTGTCCAGCGAGCCTGACTTTCCATGTCCCGTCTTTCGTTGAAGTTCTTGGAGACGTAAGGGCCTAGAGAAGCTCCGATGCGCACACTCGCGAATTCCTGACGCAACTCGAATCCTGTGAGACCGGCCCAACCCTTCAGCCAGCAGAAGCTGCACACCCTGCAAAAGCAAGCAGCTTGCTCTTAATCAGTTTGAGATTGGCCATGTTTTCTGCGGCAGACCTTACTGAAAACTGCTTGAGTGTCCCAAGGGCACGGGATCAACGCGCATTGGGAAGCCTGATGCTGCTGGCTGCCGTCAAAGATTTCCTCGCCTCAGAGTTTCACTTCGTCCCAATCGTTGTGTGCACATGAGGGGCTGTGGGAAGGAGCAAAAAAAAGGAATCTCACAAATTGTGCCTGGTTACTTGAAAAGTTTGTAAAACGCTTAGGTTGTTGCCACCAGCCTTCAGCCTGGCGCGGACCGCACTTCAAAACCCCATGCTGTCTGAAGCAATCCGCAAAGCGAAACCCTTGGCTAGCAAGACCCTTGGCTCCTCCCAGCGCGCCTGATCTTGACTTGTTTGCGTTTCCTTGCAAGCCAAGCACCACTGCGCAGCAATGCAATCACAAAACAAACAAACTCGACACCCGTTTCAAGCCACTGCTTTCTTGCCAGTCCAAAAACCCCAGTGCTTGGGAAGCGTTTGTTCTTCAAAACCCCCTACCGAAACAACATATCAAAACTATGTCACCTGGAAAGCCCTACGGCATCTCGCCTGCGTTGACCTCTGGCATGGGCCACGAAGGTGACACCCACGCCAAGAGCCGCTGCTTTCACACCTGGTGGCTCATCAGCAAAATCCAGTTCAACAGCAGGGGTGAAGTGTACGTGGCTTGTTTGGGTGTATAAAGATCGGGTAAATTCCCGATGGCGCGGGCGCGCCACGGCCCAATGGAGGTTTTCCGCAACCAAGCACGCGGCCCAATCTGCTACCAGCATGGCTCTGATCCTGGGAATAAACATGCACCTCAGCAAAAAATATGTCATTATCCCTCAGGCATTGATGCTTCCACTGTTCCCAAGACCACCACGACGTGCAAGCCATACAGGTTCTTTCCCGAGTCGGCTTGAACCTTGTCCGCAAGCATGCATCACACATACCAGCCCTTCCTGCGAAGTCACGTCTGCACGTTAATAGGGGGCGGACACCAGCGCTTGGTCTCAAGGGGGTGCTCGGCCTCGGGCACAAACAAATGCTTGATTCTAGAAGTCACATGCGTCAAATACCATCGCGTGTCGAGCAAGTCTCGGCTGAGACTGTGGCAGCAGTTTAGGTGAGAAACCTTGTGGGCACAAGCATGCCCAATCTACTTGCACACGTGCCTCAGGTTTCCGCTTCCTAGTCCCGCCACCGCCATGCCCCCAGAGAACTGGCGCAAACCAGGAGGTCTGCAAATTTCAGATTTATTGAAAACTACGCTAGAGCCAAAAAAATCATCCATCAGCAGCAACCTGCAACACATCTCGCTAGCAACATGCAAGCAAGCAAGAAACAAACGCGGGTGGCCAAAGTGAATGCACGGTGTCTGTCGCGCGGCCCTGCCCGCTCTTCTTAAGCATCAGGCATCAAAGACTGATGAACGCAGAAAGACCGACCGACCGACCGACAGACAGGCAGGCAGGCAGGCAGGCAGGCAGGCAGCCACAGACAGACAGACAGACAGACAGACAGACAGACAGACAGACAGACAGACAGACAGACAGACAGACAGACAGACAGACAGACAGACAGACAGACAGACAGACAGACAGACAGACAGACAGACAGACAGACAGACAGACAGACAGACAGACAGACAGACAGACAGACAGACAGACAGACAGACAGACAGACAGACAGACAGACAGACAGACAGACAGACAGACAGACAGACAGACAGACAGACAGACAGAGACAGACAGACAGAGACAGACAGAGACAGACAGACAGACAGACAGACAGACAGACAGACAGACAGAGACAGACACAGACAGACACAGACAGACACAGACAGACACAGACAGACACAGACAGACACAGACAGACACAGACAGACACAGACAGACACAGACAGACACAGACAGACACAGACAGACACAGACAGACACAGACAGACACAGACAGACACAGACAGACACAGACAGACACAGACAGACACAGACAGACACAGACAGACACAGACAGACACAGACAGACACAGACAGAACAGACAGAGAGACAGAGAGAGAGACAGAGAGAGACAGAGACAGAGACAGAGACAGAGACAGAGACAGAGACAGAGACAGAGACAGAGACAGAGACAGAGACAGAGACAGAGACAGAGACAGAGACAGAGACAGAGACAGAGACAGAGACAGAGACAGAGACAGAGACAGAGACAGAGACAGAGACAGAGACAGAGACAGAGACAGAGACAGAGACAGAGACAGAGACAGAGACAGAGACAGAGACAGAGACAGAGCGACGACTATGACATTCTGGATATTCATGGATGGAACTATTACCTCATGGATGATTCCCTTTTCATTATATATATATATATATTGTTCATGGTATCTGGAATGGCTATGATTTGCATTGATTGCTCACCGATATTTCTTTGCCGGAGATATGCAGATTGCTTACGAGCAGGCGCCTCTGTTGGACTTTTATGGCCAACCCATTTTCTATGGATGACGGCTGCGCGATGCGCAAATGCGGCAGCTGGGATGTTCAATGGTGGTCAAATGACGTGACAATAGTGTATTGTATACACCTGCATATGGGAGTACGCTTCGATT